TTCTAACCCGAACCCGACCCGACCCGAAATTTCGGGTCGGGTTTCGGGTTAGCCCGACCCGATTCGGAGCACTAGTCATAATATACTCTAAAAATATTGTCACGGTCAGAAGCTTGAAATAGCTGATACTTTTCCAAATATTCAAGAAATTCCACTAATGTATATTTAGCATCTTTTTCTTTTTGGTATTTCGTAAATATTTCTTTAATTTTCTTTTTATCGATCATATTTGAATACTGAGAAAAAAAGTTTTTGAAGTTTTGTTTTTGTAAGTAATTAGAAAAGTCGTGTTTTATTAAACACGATAAAAATTGTTTTGATCGAAAATTTGTTGATTTGTTGATTTGTTGATTTGTTATTTATATTATCATTGTGTAACCCTGTGCTCTTACAAGATTTGATTTGATTGGCTATCCATCTTCCTTCAAAATATTCCGAACACGTGACAGTGGGGTGATCATCAAATTAATAAAATCAAACATTAATTAGGGCCACATATGATATGAAAATCCGAATTTACTGCGGATAATATCAACTTTCGGTCGCTTTTCCCTCGAACTAATATAATAATTAATTGTCTAATTTTTTTTAAAAGATAGAGCAAATTGTATACTTTAATGTAATGGAGCCATTTTTTTGATTTATAATATTTTATAAGTAATAAATTCTTTAACAATGTAAAATAAATATTATCTAGATTTGACAAACATAAAGCTAATGAAAATTGTAAAACTGAGCCTATTTTTGAAAAGATCATAATTATATCTATCGATTAAAAAAAAAACCGACATAAAAAACCATATTCTTCGCTCAAAAAGTGTACCTTTAGTAGTTATTTTAAAAAAATCTACGGTATATTGCACTAATAAGAAAACAACCAGTATAATTAATTTTCGAAAATTTTAAAATAACCGATAAAAAATCTCAATAAATAATACATGTAACCCTACTTATGATTTGATTTACTGATTTTATAATCGCTCCAACGCGACAGTCACAAAAAATCTTTCAAGCACTTTTAAGTTAGGGTTAGCGTTTTTATAAAGGCTAGGTTTTGGCAAAATAAATAGTAAAATCGCACAAGGAAAACTTTTTGTTAAGGTACGAAATGTGGTTTCTTATGATTTTAGTAATCAATCACCGCCTAACTATATTCCCTTGAATAATTGTTCAACACATTCTTACTTAAATGATAGTTTTTTTACTTAATTCTTACATTTTTTTCAACTAAAAGAGCTGAATTCTCCTTTCGTTCATATTATTCGTGAACTCATATTTTCACGGCACTTTTGATTGAACAATCGCGACTAAAATCATAAAGAAAAATATTCGGAAGATTTTATTTTTGTTACATTATACCTGTATACTGATCTTTGAATTTATCTTCGTATTTGAAAGTTTGAGTTAAAAACTAAAAATGAAGTGATGCATGTCCATTTTCATTTTCTTAATTCTGTTTTATATAAGTTTTTTTAAAAAATATATATATAACCTTGAGGCATTTGAAGGACCTTTTATATTAAATTTTTTTTTTATAAACTTTATTAAAAAAATTGTTCTTTTTTAAGTCTTATTAGATGTCAATAGGGTTATTTAAACTTTAATTTGCAAGCTTTACTTATGTTAGATAAAAAAATATTTTAATTTATAAAAAAATAGCTTTTTCATCATGATTTAAGGCATAATCGAACTGTGGTTAAAATCAGTGGCTTAACTTGTCACAGATTACAGATGTGCTTGCATCACATATTGTGAGGGAAATGCCCTTCAGAAACTTAAGATACATTGTAATACGAGATAACATTTTTAATTCAGAATAATCAGAATGAATATTGGATTAATAGGTCAAATAAATTATAACTATAGTTTTTTTTTTTATCAATACAAATACATTACAATAATTGATTTTCTAAAATATAATAAATTATGTGTTTAAAATTTTTCTCTAAATAAGTAAATATGAATATTGGATTAATAATATGAGAAAAAAATAAATAAAAAAGTAAGTTGAAGCATGATTTTTGATATGAATCTATCTATTAATAAGTGCAACGTTATTCTTTATCCTCTTCTGATTTTCCGTTATATAAACGTGAAGTAATTATATCCCATTGTTGCTGAAGATAATTCCAAACGTTAAATAAAGCCTTTACAGATCCTGATGAATGTGGTATTTTTGTTTCCATGACCTGGACCTTACATAAACAATTGAAAATTTTAATTTAATAATCAAAGGAAAAATGAATTTTAAAGAGATTAAAATTAATTGATCGTTAATAAAACAAACCTTAGAACAAAATTGTTCAATAAACTCATCAATTTCCTTTAATTTATCTTCTAATAAGCTCAATTCATAATTTAATTTTCCTTTAGCAGTTGCATCACTATAAATTTTTTTTACTGCTTCAGCAACTTTTTTTTGTTTGGACAGTATTTTCGAACTATATTCATCTGTTGACTATTTAAGAAATTAAAAAAGAACAATATGTATCATGACTACATAAAAACTTTTTTTTTAAACCGCTAATTTACTTGGCTTACCTTGAATATTTGATGTCTTTCTTCACATGCATTGGATAATTGCTCAATTTGGTCATCATATTTTTTAGCAGTTGACTATAAATTAATTAAAATGAATTAAAATACAGAAATAAACTAGAGTTGAACGAATATTTAATTAATATATATACTTTTAAGTGTTTTATCAACTCTTCTAATTTTGTCTCCCGTCCTTTAAGATTTTTATAAATCATATATGTCTGAATATCAACTTCGAATGTTCTCCTATAATTTATAAGAATACAATTTGAACAAAAATATTCAAATTTCGATATTAATTTAATTACATACCTATGTAATGAGCGAGCACCTTGTTTTCGAGCCAATTCAGCAGTTGTAAAAGATTTTGACCTTTTGTGATGATATATCGGCAATTCTCGAGATTTTTTGATGTCATCATAAATATTAAAAGAATATCGCCTTCTTTGATAGCATGAATTTTCAGTATCACTGCCGTAGGATGACCCATCATCGGAGCTACTTGAATCTATTACCTGTTGATCAGTCGTACTCGTGACATATTCAGAGCTATTTTGTGCTGAATTGTTAAGATATGTCATATCTATGTAGTATTAAAAAACAATATGAAATTAAGTAAAAAGAATAAATACAGTCTATTAATCAAATATATATATATATATTATACCAGTCTCTAATTGTGGTACACTTGCAGTCATCCTCGATTTGTCATAAATTTCGGGGTCACTAAATAATAGTTGTGTTTAAAAATCTTGTTATTAATAATCAATAAACAATATTCTGGGCAGGCGAAAAGTCTCTAAACAGAGCCCTTTTTTTTAATCACTAAGATTTATCATTTTAGCGTTTATAATTAGTAATTGTTGCAATATTTATGTATAAATTGTATTTAAAATTAGTACTTACAAATCTTGGCGGAGATAGTTAAAAGAGATTTTTCGCCCACCCAGTATACATGTGTATAATCAAGTAAAGATAAAAAAAATACTTTTGTATCGGTGGTCCAAGATACATAGAAGAATTCAGTGGAGATGTTAATGACTTTCCAGAACTAACCATTAATTTATCTTTTTCTCTTGAGATTCCACCTCGGTCTACCAAATGTGATAGAGATCTAAAAAAACGTAATTTAAACAATTTAAATTTATAAATGTATTCAAGTGCCTTAAAAAAAAACTAGATCGTTTTACACAACTAGAAGACATACTCTGAAACCCCTTCCTTAAGTCCTCTAACACCCTCTCTTATAACTTCACCAGTTTTGGCCTAAGTATAGATTAATCAGATTAATTTTATAAAATATCATTGCAAGTAATACATATATATATAAACATACTGTTCTTCCTGAAACACCACGAAGAAAGCTTTTTCCTAATTCTTTACTACCATGAAACAAATCCGATTCACTAGATTCATCTTTACCCTTCCACAAACATCTTGATCCTTCGAATTGAAAATTTTTCCAAAATTCTTCCAAATTATATGTCTCAATGTCGTTCGAAGTATTTAAGTGACCTTTAATAATGATAATAATTATTTTCAAAAAAATATTCAAACTAATGAACTTTTTTATTTGAATTTATCCATACTTGATATGCTTGATATACCAGGTAAATTTTTTTCGAATTGATTTATGACCTATTAGAACATAAAAGTTGTGAATTCACATATATTTAATTCATGAAAATAGTCGATATCTGATGAATGATACTTATTAAATATCATACCCTGCCAAATATATGAGATATTCCCGCCAAATCAACATACCTTGCGAAATTTTACTCCATCAGGGTATCTTGATCGATTATAAGCTTCATTGATTTTATTGACAATTTCAGAATCTAATTTATGAGATATTGTATCTCTTCTTGCTGATTTCTAAATAAATATCAAATAATTTAAAACATTAACATCATGTTTAAAAAAATTCATAGATAATCTATATTTTACCTGAAAAGAAGCAACCCCGTTTAAAAATGTTTCAGTATCCACGAATGGATCTTTTCCAACCTACAATAAATGAAGACATTTTAATATTGAAAATTTTAAATTTTTAAAAAAAGATAATCTTAGGAATGTTTTTAAATAAATGAACACTATAATTAACCTGATAGTTTAAATAATTAAGTTTATTCCGAATGCTCAACACCATTTTAAAAATTATAGAGATCAGATTTGGATCAAAGATATTATCTAGAGTCTATATTTTAAAATTAAAAAAATTGTAAAACATATTTTACAAATACCGAAAGTGACTTAATAATTTTTAGCATACCTCGAAATTAGGAGCATGTTCATTCTTAAATTCTTTTAGGAAAGATTCGGTAGTATTGCATAACAATCCGTCAACCAAATTTAGTGGAAAACCAAAAATCAAGTGTAATGCCATTTGAACGTGTTTCACTAGTTGAATAACTACAGAATCAAATGGTGTTTTTTCTGATACTGAAAGTTGTATTTTGTCTGGTACTGAATATAGTTGAAAGAATTTCTGTTTTTGGACTTCACTAAATGAAAAATTTTATAATAATAATTAATTTTCAATGTGCTTAAAAAATGAATAAATAACTAAATAAAAACTTACGTTGGAGGTTTTAAAGACAAAGCATTTTTACTGCTACAACTAATTCTACGTAAATTTAAGTTGAGACGGAATTGTGGATAAGATGCATTATAATCTCCATCAGTCACCAAAATAGTACTTAATGATGAAGGAAATGAGCTTAGATTTGTTACAAATATTTTTCCTAGATGGGTCTATAATAAAACATTATATAAATACCAAATAAATACCGAATAATACTGAATTAGGAATGTTTGATTTGCATTATATATTTGACTTACATCTTTTAACCGAGTTTTGTCTTCTTCCAGATTCGAAAATAAGCTTTCAAGTTTTTCTGGATATGGTTGTAATTTTTCTTCAATGAATACGACACATACTTTAATCTAAAATTAAAATAGATTCAATTTAAAAATTCGATAATTATTAATTTTATACACTTAGATAAACTTACCTTATGAGTAGGTTCACCTGTAAAAACAGTGACTGTGTTATATGGTCTTCTATCACAAGCCCTAATGAAGAATAAAACGATTGAATTTATGTACAAATACACCAAAAAAATAAGTATAAACAAAACCAATACCATTGTTCAACTATGTAAAGTTGATATCCCTCTAAAGTTTCTTCATTAATAGGAACCTGCGCACGACATTTTTGAGCTAAAGTAATAATGTTCTCTCGTTCAGCAAATACGAATTTGCCATTTCTGTTGAAGGCCATTATGATATTTGAAAAAGATGATCATGGACAAATGCATATTTATATACTGTACGGGTACAGACAGAATTTCTTAATTTAGAAATTCAAAATTTACGATGCATGTCATTGGGGAGGATATTACATGATTGGCTAACGTTAATAATTTTAATGCCATAATTTTATTCTTATGTAATCCAATCATTCATACGTCAAATCAAAGAGATTCATCTACAAGGTTTTGTACAACATATTTACTATATTAAGAGTATTATATGATTCTAGAATCTTGATTGTAGCCGACTTAGTAAACTAAGCCAGTCGACTCTTTTAAGGAATTTACTTAGTCGATCGTCCGATTTTAAATACTAACTTGGTTAATCTATGACTTAGGTCGACTACAAACCCTCTATGAAAAATTCTTAAGCTTATAGTCATACTTTTCAGCTAGGATTTTTTAACCTTTCATTGTACCTGTTCAAAACTAACAACTATATATATAAAGAGTAAAAAGCTCATGGCTTCACAATGTCTAAACTTATAAAAAACTTACTGTATAATTTTTCTAGTTTTAGTTGTGCTTTACGATCTGGCATTTCACTCATCCACTAAAAAAATATGGATTTAACTATCTTCCGTTTCGTAAGAAAATTAATATTCACTATACAAAATAAATACCTTATTATTTATCATTAAGCTACTTGAGTTTGACTTGAACATCATCAAATTTCTGAAAATACAACTCTAGTTACATAGTCTTAGTTTTTGAAAGTTGTTCATACATCAGAATAATGCTATCTTTAACAAATGTGCATATATGTTATAAACTTTTACAATTTTGCTGTGATCATCCTGATTGTATAACGAAATTGTTTTTGATTGTTCTATTGTCACCATCGAATGGGAGAGCTTCCGACAATCTGACGTAAGAGAGATGCGGTGCATATGACAAATTAAGGAATTCGGATTTTACATGATTAGTAGGCATTTATGTATTCTTTATTTAGAGACGATTTCAGAGAGCATTATTCACTTTTTAGCTAAGGGCCAGAGAAACCCTTTAAATACATTCACATTTCTTATGAGGTCTATAATAGCATCTATGTTATAACTCTGAATCACACATGCATGTTGGTGTACTAAGTCTTTTAGACTTTTGATATACGCGGCAAGGGGAAATTCACATGGGTTAAGCCACTAAGAACATAAGAATGCCTAATATTATATAATATAGCTATGACGATACATTACAACTTAATGAATTAGACGAATACGGTATTTCTGTGACGTATTTTGCTTTACGATTATGAAGAGATCGACACGTAAAATTTCCTTACAATATCCAGAAAGGAAATTTTTACTCCTAGCGCTATGTATCATTTTATATCTTATTACGTAGTACTATATCACTATATACATTTTATCAGTACGTAAGTACTTTGTGACGGTGAAAAATGGCCGACATAAAACACATCCAAAAATAAAGGTCTTTTATGATTCTTTATATTTGTTCGTTGTTACTATCTAGTTGCATGAAATTGATGTGTTTTTATACATTGGGGACTTGCTACTACGATTAGGATTTTTTCTCAATGAAGCTTCGCCCTGAGCCAAACCCGAATTAGCAATATTAAACGCCTTCGCTTTTGTCAGTCAATGCGCATTTTAGATTCGGATTTATATGACTTGGATCACGTTTTCGGACGGCTGCGGCCAGGTCACATTATCCTATCACAACGTACTGTACGTATAGCAAAAGAAAAAAAAATCTTTTTTGAGTAAAAATAATATCAAATTATATTGAATGCATATTTTCGTAAGGGATCTTCATAATTATTTTTTGCCCTTTATATTCCTTTTTTCGGAAATTTTTCCAAGGTTAATGAATTGATAATCTTAGTAAAAGACCTTCTTTTTTAATTTATTATAAGTATAAAGACAAAATGAATCGAATAGAATATAAAGAATATATATTCACAATGTTTAAAGACATCATTAAAATTTGAGTATAATAATTAAGGCTTCAGCCTGTAAAACGTCACTGTTTTGCTGCTGGATTGCACTTGGTAAATATGTACCAATTTGTGGTGTAGACAAAATTCTCAAAATTCGTTAAGTTAGGGTCAGGGTTAGAGAAGAGTAGTCAGCAGAGTAAAACTGTCTAACAAAACTTTTTGTTAGAACATCAAAGGCGGTTTCTTAGACTGATTTTTGATTTATGAGCGATTGTTTGGCAGAATATAAATCTTCTGATCGTGTTACGTAGGTTGGGGCATGCCCCTATAGATATATATATCATATGGGCGCTGTTCAATGGAAAAGGGGGAAACCTCTTTTTTAGATTCGGTCAAATTGACAGATTTAAAAAGGAGATTTCCTCCTTTTCTATTGAACAGCGCCCATATATCGTCGTAATTAGCAATAGTAGGCTTTAATTCTAATTGGCCAATTATATAGTAGTTCTATTCACATGATATTCCACCAACCCCTAGATGTTACAAACCTAATATGTACATATTTTCCGAGGGCTGCTGTACAACGTTTCACAACATTTCACATTGGTTATAAAATCCCGATTTTACCGTTGACTAACGCTAAATTCATAATTCTTTCAAAATGATATTGTTACCAAACGAAATCCTTTTTGAAATATATAATAATTTTCGAACTAATCGTAAAAGCTTATTTTCATGCCTTCTCGTAAATCGTCGATGGTGTAGACTTATTATACCAATATTATGGAGTGAACCTTGTCTTAGGGATAAAAGACTCATAAAAATATACCTTTTAGCATTAAATGCTGCGGAACAGGCTCAATTAATTCCCTTTAAAATTTTTCTTCCAAATTATCCAAGGTCATTATTTGAATATGAAAGTTATATTACATCTGTTGGTTATGGTTTGGCTTATGGTGTCGAAAATTGGCTTAAAAATGAGGGTTATAATAGTGATAATTTCGAAAAAAATGAACTTGCAAATGCTATCAAATGCTCTTTAATTTTAATGTTTTTACGGGCAAGTAAGAATCTTAAACATTTAACACTTGACAATATTATTAGTAAAACATTATTAACAGATTCACTTTGCAAGAATACCACGCTGACTTCTTTGAATCTTGAAAATTATAATCTTGGATCGGAAGGTGGAAAACAATTAGCAGATACAATTTGTAAAAATACTACGCTAACTTCTTTGGATCTTAACAATAATAATCTTGGAGCTGAAGGTGGAAAAGCATTAGCTAATGCTCTTTGTAAGAACTCTACACTGACTTCTTTACATATCGGTTATAATAATATTGGTTCAGAAGGTGTAAAAGCATTAGCAGATGCGCTTTACAAAAACACAATGCTGACTTTCTTATATCTTGGTGGTAATAATCTTAAATCAGAAGGTGGAAAAGTATTGGCTAATGCACTTTGCAAGAACTCTACTCTGACCTATTTGAATCTTCAATCAAATAATCTTGGATCAGAAGAAGGAAAATCATTAGCTAATGCTCTTTGTAAGAATTTCACGTTGACTTCTTTATCTCTTGGTCATAATGGTCTTGGATCAAATGGTGGAAAAGCATTAGCAGATGCACTTTGCAAAAACAATACACTAAAAAGTTTAAATCTTCGACTTAATAAACTTGGACCAGAAGGAGGAAAAGCTTTAGCTGATGCACTTTGTAAAAACTCTACACTAGAAGATTTAAATCTTGATTTTAATGATCTTGGATCAGAAGGAGGAAAAGCATTAGCAGATGCACTTTATCAGAACATTACTCTGACTTCTTTAAGTCTTCAGTCGAATGATTTCAGATCAGAAGAAGGAAAAGCATTAGCTGACGCACTTTGCAAGAACTCCACTCTGACTTCTTTATATATTGGTCATAATGATCTTGGACCAGAAGGTGGAAAAGCATTAGCAGACGCCCTTTGTAAAAACACTACGTTGAAAGATTTGTGTCTTCGATTTAATGAACTTGGATTAGAAGCAGGAAAAGCATTGGCTAATGCTCTTTGCAATAACACTACGCTGACTTCTTTGAATCTTCACGGCGATGATCTTGGATCAGAAGGAGGAAAAGCTTTAGAAGATGCTCTTTGTAAGAACAATACCCTGGAAACATTATATATTTGGGATAATAATATTAATTTCACTATAAAATCTAATAATCCGAATATTGATATAGGCCAATAAATTGTATTTGATGTAATCGTAAATATATGTTTGTAAACACAATTGTAAATCACGTAACATTAGTAATAAAACTAAAATTTAAATTATTGACCAAATATTTTTATGCGTTTAGTTAGTGTTCTTTCAGAGAAAGGTTGAGTTTTTAAGAGGGTGTGATTTATTTAATCAAACATTATATTATTATTTGTGTTATTTAATGACATTTGTTATACTAAACGCAAACTAAATCAAAAATATACTATACATTGTTCAAGACACGTTATTATTAATGTATGTTAAAAATAAATAAATTTATACTATTAGGTATATTGTACTTATTGGTTAAATATGATAATGTACCTCAATTTTATAAGTATAAAAATTTGTAAAACAAAGATATAAATGTAGATTTAAATCTTAAACTTTAAATACTGTAGAGCACTAATCGAAAGACTTGAGTTTAAATAAAAAAAATTTACAAAGACAAATATATTATGCTGTTCAGGTCTGTGTTACAAGGATGAAAAATTTTAAAGTATATACATATTCGTATATACAATAACACTTTAAATTTAAAAAGCTTATATTTAATTAATAAATATCTTATGTTATACTCCGGGTATTTTGCATAGAAGTATTTAAAAAGAGATTTTTGGTCAATACTTTATAATATATGTTCTTTAACATTTTATTATTTTTTTAAAAAATCACAAGCATAAACGTCAAGCAGTTTTAAATTCAATGAGATCTTAGTTCAAAGTTAATTTTTACTAGATTATTAAACCAAATACTTAACTCATTTAAATAAATGTGTAGTAGTTAAAACTAAAATTAGTTAATGTTGAAATTTAATCTAGTTTATTATAAAGAAAATTACTTTCATTTACTATTGGTATTCATTAGCAGTATTTTACAACAATTGTATAAATTAAAGTTCTATTGAAAAAATATTTGATTTTTTTTAATATTTAAATTAATATTAAACTATAATTAACAAAAAGAATTTATATTTAAAATTTTACAAAGGATTTTTTATTAGAGCCTTTAAAGTGGTTTTATTTTGATATTTTTTCATTTAAATGTATTATACCAAAATTATTTTATTTAGATATTGCATAATAATTACACAAAACTATGAGTAAAATTATTCAGTGTCTAACATTATATAGTTGCTTCTTTGAGTGTTTACATGACAAACAGAAAAATTTCAAGTCTGGAATAGGATGTTCAATCATCATTCTACAATTAAACACTAGGAAAACAGGTACTGT